TTGGCGGGGAGGGGTCTTGGCTGGGTTAGGCTGCTGGAGCGGGGTGGCCCGGCAGGCGGCAGATGCTCCCCAAACCGCCCCCAGCAGCAACAGCAGGCCTGGTTAGCGAGAGCGGGAAGCCCTGCGATGACACCCGCGGCCCCGGCCCGCTGCAAGCCGCCTGCTCCTGCACTGCCAACGTGAACCGGGTCCCCGAGCACCTTGCAGCTCCCCCTCGCCGACTTTCTTCCTCCCCGATGGGACTTGGGGGCTGGTGCCAGCTCTGTGACGGGTTCTCCCGACGATTGCAGCTGCGATCAGTTGGCCAAGTGGTTGGCTGCGGAGGCTGGGGGGGGGGGTACCTCTTCCTTCAGCTGCCTACGGGGGTTCAGGTGTCCCCTCTCCAGGATGGAGCAGGTCGAAGGATGCTTCAAACAGCGCCTGGTGCTTCTCCTCCTTGTGGACGTGGGCAGGGGAGACTGCCTGGACACCATGCGCATTGTGTCCCCTAGAGGGAAACCAGTGAGGTCCATGCAACAGGGTCCCAAATGCTTATTTTTTGGGGGGTGCCCATTGTTTGGGGGCAAATCCCTGGGGTCCCTCCAGGTGGGTTGCTGTGCAGGGATCACTGAGCAGGGCCATCCCCTTTCCATGCCTGTGCTGGCCCGAATGCCGTGGGGCGCTGAGCCGAGCGGTGGGCAGCCTCGCACACCCCATGCTGCTCCCTCAAAAGGGCTTGCCCTAGCCAGTGGGGCTTGGGAGCTGCTCACTGCTGGGTTTGCAGCTTGTCGGAGGATGTCTGCGGAGATGTTTTTGGGGTCGCACAGACCTGGGTGGACACAGCTGGAAGGGGAACGTTTGTTGCCTAAATTTTGCTGAGAAAAGCAGCGCTGTTGTGGAGCAGGGTGTGGGTTTAGGGCTCGCCTGGAGGTGGCAGAGAGGTTGTCCTCGGGTTTGGAGCATGGTGGCATGGAGGGGGTGAACACTGGGCTCCGCTCTGGCCATCCTCCTGCGACAGTGTGAAATTATGCAAAAGGGCCAGGCATGTGTCCCTAACTCAGCAGCTCCCTGTAATCGTCACTTGGCATTGCCAGCACGTCCTGCTTCACCCTAGTGTCCGGCCTGCCCGTCTCCCTCCCACGTCTCGGCCGTGCCGTCCCCTCTGCGGGCTGGCCCTTCATGCTTCCTCTTTGTGCCGAAGGTCTTGCTGACGCTGGAATGGAGGCGGCCGAGGCCAAGTCCAACATCTGCTGGAGACTTGCTAAATCCCCACCTGAGTAATGCTTCTGGCGTGAGGCTTGGCCGCACTCATGCGCGCGTGCGCTCGCCTCCCTCGATGCCATTTGGTGGGGACTTCTGTGCTGTCCCAGGCTGCTGGCAGTGCTGGAGGGGAGATGGGGTTTTCCTGTGCATGGAGCAGCACAGAGGGTTGCAGCGTCTCAGGTCAGCCCAGGCCATGAAACCTTCCTGGGCGATGTTGGTGGCTTCCTCCTCCTGCCCCGGCTCCGCCATCCCTCCCCGACTACCTGCCTGCTCCCCACTCGCTGGGAGCCTGTGCCGTCCGGGCTCGCCAGCGGATGCCGGAGCGGGGAGGCGCAGGCCGGCCTGGCCCTGTGCCCCCAGGTCGTGGGCGTGCAGGACAGGCAGGTCTCTGCACCCCATCGCAGGGCAGCTCCCTCCGGCTGGGGCCGTGCCAGTACCGCCGCTCCTCCCGGTGCCTCCCGTGCCGCCCAGCGATGCGGCGTTGGCCCCC